CAGTCTATTTGGAAAAAATCATCCGAACAAGTTGAATCCTGTTAAAATCAAGGGAGAAGTAGAGAAGGTGGTCGAGGAGTATAAATATCTTGGTTTTCACCTGGACAACAAAATCGCCAGGAGAAACAACTGTGAATCTGTCTACAAGAAGGAACATAACGGATTGTATTTCCTAAAAAAACGTAGGTCATTTGCAGCAAGATGCTACAGATCTTCTATCAGTGTGTTGTGCAGAGTGTGATCTCTTCCTCCGTTAACTGTTAGGATGACAGCATCAGAGCGAATGTGTCTTCAGTAAAAACCCGTGACAGCTTTCATTGTTTTTTTCACGGTATTCTCATCAAAGAATTATAAATTATTTTGGCCAATATTAGTTTTTCTTTATGTTGGATTATTTCTTTATTTAGTTGGAGCAGACTTTGATGCGCTGAACAATTAGCCATTGTGCTGAACGTATATTTTTAAATCCATTTATGGAAAGACGCTGACGTGTAAACATGTTCTTCCATCCGTTATAAAACATATTCACTTGTGAGTTTGGGATTTTAAGAATAGAATTGTAATATGATCATAAAAGTTGAGCTTTTACAGTGTGTCTTTTATTCTCTCACATTCAGCTCCTCTTTTTTCATATTTTTAAAAAAGAAAATATCTCTGGTGTCACAGATCTATGGCGCATTATGTTAAGAATACTTATCATGATATCATAAGCAATTTACTAGTAAATAGTGATGATTTGCACACATCAAACTTGACATGATACCAAAGGTTATTGTTTCCATGCGGCTCAGTTTGGCATAGGCTAATAATATAAGATTACTAAACTCACACAGGTTAAGCTGTCCAATTTGCAGCAATTTAATGTATTTTTCAGAGGCAGTATGGTTTGGATGGCAGAGGAGGTTACCGTCGACAGATGGAGAGGTCCATGGAGAGAGCCGTTGCAAGCGGCCATCTTGCACCAGCTGAGTTTCATCTGAAGAGAGCCGAGATGATGGAGCGTCTGGCATCAGGGATTGATGATGGCTCCAGCAGAACCCAGGGTATATTTCTGTTTGGAGACACACACTCACAATTCACTTCATTGAGAAAACCTTGAAGTACTTTACGTTACACGGTTACCCTGAGTTTCCTTTACTCCAGTTATCCTCTCAAAACTTTTAAAGCGTTTACAAATAATAACTCAGAATTCATGAAAATTAGACTGGTAAAATGTTTACAATATAGACATATTAGACATAATTGGAAAGCTTCGATTCTACACAATTCAGTTCATTTTATGGACAAAGCGAGCACAAAAGCACAATTAAATAAAGTGATTAAAAATCAGTGCCTCTGCGATTTGAAAATGCAATGAATTGCCCAGCCCTAGTGCCAATGCATTTCTAAAGATCCATACCTTTAATGAGCTTTTGTTATGAATCCTCAACTGGAAATCGGATGAACTCCAATATCATCATGGGGGAGTGGAAGAGCATTCCTTGGGCAACCTGTGGACTTTATCCACTGTCCTGCATGCTTTAGCTGAGTCTCTGCTTTAGCAAGACTGACTTTGATGATTGCATTACCTTCTCAGCAACCACCACAGGCTGCAGAAAACCTGCCATTACCTATTAATTTGGGTCAGATGAACTGCTACCAGAGAAACGACTAAAACATGCAGGACAGTGGGTTCAAAGACCCCTGCCAAGAAGGGTAAAGACATCGCAGGAAAATAATGGTGGCTAATTAAAATTTCCACAATTTAGACATTTATACTACGTTCACACTAAAAGCAATTTCAGCAGCAGAAAAGTTTCTGCTGCTTCATTTGTGATGCTTCTACACATTAAGGTCAGATCCGATCAAGAGCATCTTCCATGCTGCTGAAGCGTGTCCACTAAAGTGTGTCCAGATGCTTCTGCTGCTCCTGTGTTCAACGGCATAGAGCGGCTTTGCTATTTTCTGTGATCAGTGAGTAAAAAGATAGTTTTATATACACTCACCGGCCACTTTATTAGGTACCCCTTGCTAGTAACGGGTTGGACCCCCTTTTGCCTTCAGAACTGCCTCAATTCTTCGTGGCATAGATTCAACAAGGTGCTGGAAGCATT